CAGCCCGCAACGCAGACCGCACAGGGCCGAGCCCTCGGTCCGCCCGCAACCCGCGCCGCGGCCTCGATTCCCGGCCCTTCGCCCGCCCGCCCAGGCTCTGCGGCCCGCCGCCCCGGCCAACCCCGCCGACGCAGCTCAGGCGGCCCGAACGGCTTCGACTCCAGCTAAGGCTCGAACTCGCTCACCGCTTCCGCCTACATCGACCCCGCCCCAGCCCCGCCCTTCATTCGCCCCCTCCGCCCCGGCCCGCGCCTCGAGACACGCCCGCCGCAGAGAGACGCTAAGAGCGAGCCGGGTCGCCCCGCCCACGGGGCCGCTCTCCCTGCCCCAGCTGCCTTGCGGCCTCGTCTCCCACCAGCACAGGAAGAGGCGGGGCCAGAACGGCAGCCTGTTCCCGCCCCCTCCTGAGGCGACAAGATTGACACACAAACCGGTCAATAAGGACAAGGCGAACTACGACGAGGCTCCCGTGAGTCTCTTTGCCCAGGGCCCAAACAACCAATCAAAATGCTTTCCTTGGCTGACTCGCGGACCCAATTTACGGCCGACACAGAAAGTTCATTGGACAGCATCAGAGGAAGGTCGTCCCAAACGCCACTTCCGGACGTGCTTCCCTCGTCTGTGAACTTTCCCAGTACTCTCTGCTCTTTGCCTTCACGCCGGAGGGGGAAGACCAGTTGTGACTATTAGCCAATTAGCTCGCACCCTCTCTCGGGACTGGAAGGCCCTCTAGGTAGAAAATCGTGATTGGTACACGTCAATCAACGTTCCTCGGAAAGAACTCCGAAATGTCCTTACACACCTGCGGGGTGAAAGCAGCATGGCGAAGCTGGGTTAAACTAGGGTGTCGGTTGCGTTTAACAAACCCACCAATCTCTTGACCTTTGAGCTCCAAACCAACTAGGAGAGCCACTGTAACACGCACCTGGAAAGAACAAAGGATCTCCCTAAGCAGCCCAGCCCGCCCCACGCGTGTTTGGGGTTGGAAACAGGTCCTTGATCCGAGGAAGACGAAAGAGAAAGGCAGAGGCTTCCTGAAGGCGCGGATTCGGGTCTGGTAGCTCGAAGGAGCAAATTCCCACTGGAGAGTCGGGGAAGGCCCTTCACTAAAAATAACACTCAGATACTGAGCACCAGTCCACCTGCCTTACTTACCAATATAAAGTTAAAAACTCAGGTGAAACTTAATAGATCGGCTAGCAAAACGATGAGTCACCTCCGAGAAACGAGCAGGGGTCGGGGTGGGGTGGAGCCTCTGATTTAAATATCAGCAAGTTACTGATTTTTTTCCCTTTTTGCAAACAACTCACTACAGCTACCGAAGTAAATTTGAAAAATTGAAAAATAACATTTTAGAAATGGAAAAATTCGGTGAAAGCACCTGCGCAAGGTCACACAGTATCTGTGCCAGGCCCATTTGACAAATCCAGAGCGCTGGAATTCTTGGCCAAAGCAGGCAACCAGTTCTGAAAGTTCTATTTAAGCTTATATAAACAAATCTGTAATACTAGTAAGGTAGGTAATAGGACTATTAACTCCTGTGCAACCTCTCTGATCATAGTTGTGGGGTGTAAATATCCCTGTTATCAGACAGCATTGTAAAGTTGATTATGACTTACTTGAGCGACAATCTCCTTTGAAACCTAGATGTCGACCTTCCATTGTCATTCCAGTGACTTCTAGGCTCCTACCCATAATCCAATCAGTAACTAGATAAATCAGTTGACATGGGGGTCTATTCAAATTCATGGTTACACCACATGGGAATAATAAAATTTTATAAACTATGATCAGTGTCTTAATTAGCAAATAACCTAAGGAAGTGCCTAGGCACACTTAAAAAGCAGAATCTCAGACATGTAAGCTTATTTTTTAAGGCCAATCCTAGAGAAATCACGGGCTAGGGAAAACAAACTCTGCAGTCTAGCCGATTCCACTGCATAGGAACCTAGAGGAGAAAGTAGAACTGTCCCTGTGGGTTTCTGAGGCTATAAATCTTTACAAGAGCAGAATGCCTCCTCTTTTTCTTGAGGATCATCTGGTATACTGAAAGTGCTGACCTTAGGTTAGCAGCCTAGTGGTGTATGTAACCTACTACATCACTAGGGCTGGGGAAAGGTTCATGCAATAAGAAACTAACAGTGGGAGGGCAAAAAAAAACACTCCCAGGACCAGGGCCGTAACCGGTAGTTGGGTCTTCTCACGGAATAGTATTGTGAGAGGATGTCAGTTGTACATACTTTCACTGTCTCTTCCACCTTTGCATGCAAAGTTCATCATTCTCTCTGTGGTAAACATTAACCCAGTGCCAGTAAGAGGGGTTAAGAGGAAGAGCAAATAACAGCAGGAAATGTCTGCATTTGAGCATTTCCCACTTTCACATACCTTTTCTGTCACTGAGGGAGACGACGTTTAAGAAGGAATAAGATAAGAATTCCCAGCCCTCTAAGTGAGGTGTCAACTAACTCCACATGGAAGAAGCATGCCAGCCTGTGTGATCTAAGGATTGGAAATAGCATAATCCAAATGTAAAGGAGGGAATGATATCAAAGCTTAAATTGTGAACACTTGGTTTACAGAAGGATATGGATGACAGTAGAAGCCCAAAATCTGTTTGCAGGATGTGTTAGTCTGGGTAGACTAGAGAAACAACTCTAGGGAGCCTCGTGTATAAGAGAGAGCTTTACATATAAAAAATAATTGTATATTAAAACATCCCAGCCCAGTCCAGATCAAGTTCATAAGCCTGATATTAGTCCATACCAGTCTATAAATTCCTTTTCAGACTCATGAAACACATGGCAATGACCCCAAATGCAGGAAGGTCACAGGCCAGTGGTTGGAAACTCTTGTGGATTCCAGTGGCAGTGGAAGCATTTCAGCGCTGGCGTGGGTCTCCAGCTCCAGGGTTTTGGCTAGCTCCATGTGGCTTGTCATCAGGAATATCAAGTAGATAAGAGTGTATCCCACCTCCAGGGAGGAAGACAGTTCCCAGAATCTTCATAAGAAGGCCATGCCCACACAGAAGCCTCATTGGATACTACCTGATTGACAGGCTGAACTCCACCCCTTCACTAGTTGATAGATTATGTAACTGCCACAAAGGGTTCTCATGTGGATTAAGCTTCATGTGCTGCATTCTCTCTGATCATAGTTGAAGAGTATGAATAGCTCTGTTATCAGAGAGCATTGTAAAGTTGGTTATGACATAGGCTAAAATGTGCTCTTTCATTTGATAATCCTTTTGACACATTTTAAAGTTGTTCCTGTTTTAAAAAGCAAAAAACCGTTTAGGGGAAATACATGTGACTTAAGCACCTGCTGAACCGGCTGACCGTAGCCCAGGGATGGGAATGGCTTTGCTAACACTCAGCATGCTTTGGAAAGCCCACTGTTGCAGATGCAGTTGGGCTAAAATTTCCCATCTTATCATTTCATCTGCTTTGTGATCCATTCAAACGTATTCTAGTTCTTAATAGTTTCTGCTTTCTTTTCTATTAAGGTTTTACCAGTTTTACTTTGTTATTGTTATTTTCTTTTAATGTTACTCTGTATGTGACATCCAGGTTAGGCAAATCTAGAGAGACTGGATTAATGGTTCCTTGGGGGTGTGGCAGTGGGGGTTGGGGGAAATGGGAGCTAATAGCAATGAGAACAAGAATGAAGAAAATGTTCTAAATCAGATATGGTGAAGATGATACAACTCTTCCTTTTTTCCATTCATTAACAGAAACCTATTTAGTCTACTGCCAATAAATAAAAAAGGAAAACCATTAGAACCACGTTTAATTTGTTCAGTTTTTGCATTTGAAATATTCTTCAATGACCTACTTGGTTTAAGATTCTTTGCCATAGGCCTTAACCACACTGCTGCGATCGACCACTTTTTGGGGTTTTCCTTCTCTGTCAGTTTTTCAGAGGCCTTATTAAGGTGTCATCAACCTTATTAAGGTTGATGTGGTGTTCAACACACAGGGCCACCACTAGGTTGACAAACATGGATTCATCACAGTTGGATACAAGCATAAAGATGGGTTTGGCGCCTGGCTAAGGCTTTGGCAGCTTCAAGAATTCCACCTGCTAGACCATCGTGGATAAAG